AATGAAAAGCTTTGCATTAACTGCTGACACTGATACAGAATGCACTTATGAGCATGCTGTATCTTCAATGTTATTTCTGTAGACAGTACTATTAAATATCAGAACAGTCTGTCTGAAATGGCATGACCTACTGCAGGACTAGTGAATTGGACTACTAAGGAACAAGGCGTGGGTTCAGACATGACCTTAAAGACATATTACTTAGTTATTACTCTCATCAGAGTACTTTTTGGGCTGTCATTTGTCATTTTTTTGAATGTATCCCTCACCATATCTTACTCTAGCTGACATATCCCTTTGATTTCTCCTCGGGCACTCTGACTCAGCATGTTGAGTTGTGTGGAAATATAATTGCCATCAATCTCCAACACTGCTGGTGGTGTGCCTGCAAACCATTTGCCAATTGGCCACTTTTCATAAAAAGGGAATATATGATGATAAACCATTGGGCATGCATGGGCCTGTTGCAGCCTCTGTCTAGAGGCAAGGACACTGTGACAGATGGACTGTGAAGCTAGGGGACAATCCCTGGACTGGAAGAAAAGGATCTGAGCAGGCAGAAGGGAGGTTGTTACTGACATCAGAGCATGTAGTCTGTAGAAATCCTATCAGGGGGTCTCTAATTGAAATAAACAGGATATAGTGACTGTGGTGGTAACATGCTACCAAACCAAGCAGTGATATAAGCTTGTTATATGTGATGATCACATAGGCCTGTACTGGCATTGGTGGTAGTCCTCAGGCACATACAGTCCTACAAGCTACAGGACAGAGTAAAGAAAGCACTGGACTGGCAAATCGATGAGCGCATCACATGATTCAAGCAGTGAGCACGTCGCACCACCACCATCATGAAACTTCATTTATTTTCCAGGACGTAGTAGTCCAGCACGCTTCCTTCAGAGTACAAATTTGTGCAAAAGCTTTACTTGGTAGTAATATGAATTTGATCAGATGCGTGTTTTGCCACATGCTCTTTACTCACAGAATCACTTGCGTTTTTACGCAGCTGCTCCTCCTCTCCCCTCACGTTGACCGCGGCCGGGTCTACCACCAGTTTCTCGAAACACGCCGAGCCGAGAGAGGAGCTCTTCTGCTGGTACGTGATCAGTTGGGATACGGCGAGTTTTGGGCTTCCGTGCGCGGTCAGCTCGGGTTTGCTCCCCGTGGCTCCAGAAGCTGCGCCAAGGGGCTGTAGCAGAGGCTGCCCGTCGCTGCTGGTGCCGGGGACCGCGTCGCTTCCAAGGGGCTTCTCTCCTTCAAAAGGCGCCGGGGTCGAGCACAGATTCGGCTGTGACGACGAAAACACCCGGTCCAACTGTTTCTTTTTTCTCTTAAACATCCATAACCCCGATTCCTTTTTGCTGCCCTCCGCGCCCCCGGCACCCCGACGCTCCGATCCCAGTTTAGGACTCAGCCAAGGCTTGGTTTTCTCCTGGAAATTCTTCCACATCCTTCGCTGGTAGGACAGAGACTCCTGTCCCTTGGCGGTGCCCTCATCCTTAGGTGATTTTTGCTCCATGGTGCCTGTGCAGCAGCCAGCCAGCCTGAGCACACTCTGAATAGTGGAAGGATGTCACAGTTGGGCTGCTGCGGCTCGGGAGCACTTCCACTGATGATCAATTTAGAGCGCCAAGAAGTAGACGCACAGTGTGATGATGAAAGGGGTGTTAGTCTCCCAACGAACCTGGTAGAATGCCTATGCAGGCAGCACAGTAAATTTTATGTCACACACTGTGCAGCACGCTTGTTTGACGGCAAGCAATATCCTCATCGACTGAAGATTTATGTCACCTCAGTGGTGAAGTTGGAGCTCAAGCAATCACTTCTGCAAGATCACATAAAAATGCTTGGTAAATGCTGCGCTTGGTTGTTGGCGTCCCTGCTCTGTCCACTGTGCTTTACCAACGTATAGTCAAACTTCCCCATTAATTGTTATATTCAAATGAAGGACGAAGGCTGCACCGCGCCTCCCTCTGGCCAACCATGTCACTTGACTGGATAATCTGTATGCTGGTGATTGCATAACGCAATCACCCCAATGCCTTTCGGAGATGTGTATAATTCAGCAGTGGATCTCCCCCATATGAGTTTAATCTTTTTGTAGTATAATATTTGTTGTTTGTTCATGGTGATTTACAGCTACAAGATTGGCTCTTATAATATGGTGACCTTAGTAAATCCAGAGCTGACTGAAACCTTAGAGGATTTGAAGCCTGGTTCTCTTCTGTGTCATGTGGATGTCCCTGCACTGTAGGCAGGTCTGGATATGTTCTCCCCATCAAATGGGTCAGGCTTCAGTGAATGTTATCACCCACATGCAGCAGCGAGCAGGCAGCGCTGAGCAGCCTCTTCTCTTTTTAGATGCTGAGCGGAGTGTATAATAACTCATTAGGTCTTCCCCTCTGGCCCTTGTTTCGGTGCTGGCCTGTTCCGTCCCCCTGGTGAACACTGTTCCCACTTCCACATAAACAAACACACAGACACAATAATTACAAGAATTAATATCCCTCTCCATCTAACTCTCTGTAGTGCACATGTACACACACGGGAGAGGTCACAGAATGACCTTTTATCTGCAAACAGGGCTGATTAAATTTTACTTTGAGGGAGTAAATTACAATGGTGAATGTTATAACCTTGTATGGTGCTTGCATGGACATTCATTCATGCAAGATACGGTGATATGACCTTGCTCTGTCTGCACTCTGTTTCAAGCTCTTAGCCTTCACCCTCTAATAATGAGAAAATAATAATCAGCCTTCAATGGTGTGTGGTGAGTAATAGCAACATTGACCTCTTTAGAAGCATCAAGGTTTTTTTGTTAGGCTATAGGTACGTCTATGAGTAATGGATGCATATCAAACATTGGACGAGAAGCCAATAACGAGTTATGTTGTAGCTCAGGATCACTTTGCTTGATATCTTATCCATCTTACAAAATTAAACACTTTAATTACAACCAGGAGGGCACTGGCAGCAACAACTGCCCCGAACCCTTCTTTCAGTTAAGTAGATGGAGATATGAGCATGTGAGCCAAACAATTCCTTTCAGCTACCATCGGCTTTTCTATTGGGCTAGTGGAGATAACTGATGAGTCTGCAGTGCGCAGGCCTTTCCTCTTAATGATCCTGGTCCTGTTGACGCGACACTAATTCACAGTGTGTGTGGCTATGCACGCACACACCTACAAACAGACACTTAAAAACTCATAATCATATTTTTTTATTTACTGCAATTTCACATAATTCAGTTTTTTTTTCTTATGATGTATGATAATGTGGGTTAGTTCTTGGTTAAATGAAACATTATATGGCCGTTTTCACTCTAGGTGGTGAATCATGCCACTTACAATTCATTCGGTCAGACAAAAGCTGAATGTTCAGTGGATAGCGAGTTATATTGTGTGAAATGAAATAGCAGAGGGATGGGATACGAAGCTGATGCTTTTAATAATTTGGCCAATATTTCTTTACTGCCGGTGCCAAGTTCAAATAATGACATATTCTGTTTTCCAGCCTCAGCCAGCTTCAGCCGCACCTTCCTGATCTGACCTCTTAGTACTGTTCAATGAAGTAATTATAGCCTAATGCTTGACTCACACACCTATAGAATAGTTTTTAAGGGTTTCTATTAATCTTTTTCACCTTGAAATGTTACTAATGCGTCTGAGATTTAGTTTATCTAAGTGACAGCATTGCTACTCTCTGTACAGCAGGATAGAACAAATTCAACTGTTTGTGGGCAAAATGTTTTGGTTTGTTCTAGTTTGTTACTGATTTGAATGTGGATTACAAATATTTACACAAAAGTTTCAATCAAATGCTGATATGCTACTTAATCAGTAACTTAAGTTTGTGAACTGTAATTAGCCACATTCAGCCACATTAGGACTACCCCAGGAGGGTGTGATTCTTGTAAGAAGAAGAAGAAAGAAGATATACTTTATTGATTCCCTACAGGGAAATTTTTATACACACACACACCACAGCAGGCTGAAATGCACAGCTTCGAGCACATTGTGGATCATGCAAAGGGGAGAGGATGTGTGGAGTGGATGGGGGCTTGCCGCGGTTTTGTGACGCGTTACCAGCGCCTCATGAGCAGGTTTCGGGGTTAGGTTGCCTTGCTCAAGGGCACCTCGGCAGTGCACAGGAGGTGAAACTGGCACCTCTCCAGCTACCAGTCCACACTCCATATTTTGTAGTCTGTGGAACTTGAACCGGCGACCCTCCGGTTCCCAAGCCAAGTTCCTACAGACTGAGCTACAAATGTGAAAAATAGCCCCTTAATTAATGAAAAATCTAAACCATTAATGCCTGACTTATGATTACATAACATTACATTACAAAACTGATTTTAAATTTCTATATCAATAAAGTCATCATCCATCCAGGTCAGAACAACTAAAAGAACTAACTTAAAGGCTGCTGGACTTTTTAGTTGCCTTTTGCAAACAAGTGCAGCTGCCTTTTGACTTTGGTGCGTTTTGAAAGCTATTGCCTTGAGAATTTGCTGTTTGAGAACTGGTCAGTTAGTCAGCATTCATTTCAAGAGTTTAACTAAAAGTAACGTTCACACTTGGTTTGCTGAATTAAGCTGCTTACCTAAGAAAACAGTGCCTCATTCTCACATTACTGTGTGGACAAATTCACACTAGCAGGCTGGCACACCCTACTCAGGGAAGCCACAGTTACCAAGTGACAACACAAACAGATGAACTCAAGAGTAAGCTAAAGGAAAGGAGACAGGCCTGTGAGTATTCTCAAATGTAAAAAATGAGAATTACTGCTTAATATATTGTTTAAAAAAGAGAACATTTTATATTGCATTATATGGGTCTTGTTATGCTTGGAACAGACTATTAAACATTTGTTCTGTTGATTTTGACAATAAAAATGTAACATTTAGCAGTAGTTTAGAAACACATTTGAGTAAACTACTGTGTAGCAAACCAATATACTGTATGTAATATGTTTTTTCCTTTTAGAGAAGAAGAATGTCGCACGAGTCAAAGTTACAGCCCTATCAGAATCACACCAGGTACATTTTCCTATTAAATTACTGTATTTTATATTTATATTTATTTTAACCATCAAAAACAATTACAATTCAGTTATAAAATCAATCTGAGTCAGAGAGGTAGATACATTTTATTTTGCTCCACTGATGGGATGGAAATATGGTTGGGAACCTCCAGCGACCTTTCTTACAATGCTTTGAATCACAATGATGAAATTAATCCCTAATCCGCAGTAACATTAGGCAGGGTGACGCAGCATGCACAGGGACATGAAGTGAATAAGAGATCTGGCTTGAGAATGACCTTAGGGTATGAAAACCAAGGCACATCTTCTCATTCTGGGTGGATGAATGCTTTATTGAATTATAGTGTTAAAGTATTTTATTTCTTTTCTATTTTTTAATGTGTATTCCTGTGCCTTCAGTGCTAGAAAATATATATTTTTTTACTTTTCATGTTTTCTTTTTCATCCTCAATTACTAAAAATCAATAACAATGAGCTTCCAAAATTGTATGACTCAAAACTAGTTTTTCTGTTTGCTTCCTGATTAAGGCCTGATGCCTCAAAGGGTTGTCTGAGCAGTCAGGAGAAAACACTGGCTGTGCTGCTGGAGCAGGCTTTCAGGATCAAAGAGGAGGTGGCAGCAGGTCTGCAGTCCACGCAGGGGTCTATCCAGGTGGAGGCACTTTCCCGCAAACTGCTGGAGAATCACATACTGACCATCACACGCATTGTCAAGCAGCTTAGCATGGACATACAGGTATACAGAGGTAGAGGTTAGAAGGGAGGGTGTTGTAATGCAAATATACTAATGCACTGTTGCCAAGCCTTGTTTTTTTGTCAAAATATCTTCAATGTCTCATTATGTGTATAAAGTCATTGTGTATCTGTGTGGATTCCTGTCTAGTCTTCTTTTCAGGATCATTATTTTATCTGCTTTCCCCTCTTCTACTCATCTGTTTTGATGTGCAGCACACACCCAGACGCACACACACACACACACACACACACACACACACTCATGCCCACAACCTCACAGCTGATTTGATTACACCTGATAGAATGGTGCAGCGCCTGAGCAAAGCCTGCCTGACTCCTCTTCATTGTCAGCTTCTGGACAGTTTGTCTGCATAAGCAAAAGAACAAATGATGTACACACAATGGTTAGATAAATACTGCCAGGTTATGCACCAACCTCTGAGACACAGCAGCTGGAAGAATTAACTGGAGTGCATTGAAAATGAAAGTCAAGTGTTTGGAGTCATCTTTGACTGAGCAGAACATCTAGTCACACTTTGATAACTGCCTTATAGAAAGCGCACAAAAATGAAACACATTACTTCATTAGTGCATACCAAACAGGCAATTAACATGATTAGAGGCTGTCATTATCTGAAATATTACATGAATGCCTAAGAGCTCATTAATTCTGCATATGAAGAAATAATAAGCTAAGCCGTGAAGTGAATATGCTGCTAAATCAAATGAGAGGAACATCACACAGTCACTGTTTGCTCCCATGATAAGCCAGAGGGTCGTCTCTTTAATGACATACACTGCACTCATGTGAACGGACTATCCTTTTGGTTGATCGTTCATGCATTTCTGGCAGTTTTAAGTTATTTTTCTCAGAAAAGGACATTATGGCAGTTTTGCTCACAATGGTTATTTTGAAAGCAGAAAATGAATCATATACATCCTTTGTTTTTTGCCAGTTCCAAACAAACTATTTTATAAATGCTTTATTTGTATTTCTGCATCTACATCTTATTTCACATGGACTTGCTAAGAAGAAACCACCATCCATTTAACATAAAACACACAAATATGCTATTTTTGTTCTGAACAGGCCCTGGAGAGACTGATCGTCCAGCGGGACTCCATCACATCCGGAACCTCAAAGGCTGTTCAAAGCCTGGACCAGAAGAACATGGCTGGCATTGGAGACCTGAGAGGAAGAGTAGCCAGGTACGCACACTAAGCTTGGGTGAAATATAATAATGTATCCAAACACTGAGGTACAAACTATACAGAGTGTTAGCAAATAAAGCTAGCTGCCAGCAGGTTAAAACTTTCATTTCTTATTTGGAAGAATTGTTCAGTTATTTAGGCCCATGTCTGATGCACAAGTGTTTTGACTGATTAACTTTCCTTGCTGGTATACTTGTTTTTCTCTCCCTCTAATGAAGTGAAATTGCATAGCCTTCGTGCTGTCTGGCTGCGTTTCACAGTCTCTCAACTTCCAATCCATCGTGGCATCATCTCTTGACATCCTCACAGACACAGACACATGCACACATTCATTATTTTGTTGTGAAGTTTCTAGGTTTCGAACACACTCTAGATGCTGTTTAGCACTCGCTCATTATTTTGTGTCAATGCAGATTGTGCTAGATTGGTTTGTTAAAGAGAGGCTGTCATCTTAGTGCTCCGCTTAACAGGACTTGCAATAGGATTGGATCTTTAGCTGTGTTGCAACCAAGGCTCTTTTGAACATGTCTGGAATTCATCTGTCAATACATCTGAGATAATGTGATTTCACAACAGGCAGTACATCAAAGATGTAGTGTTATTTTGTTTCACAGCAGTCCTGCATCCTGCATGGCGCTCAAGAGGTCAGAGAAGATAGAGAGAAGAGAAGATATTGCCTATTACTCAACAAACAGCTGATTTATGGTTCAATAAAAGCTGTAGAAAAACCTCACCTACTCAGTCTAATGACCTCTTGTATATTAGTCATAAATTATCAGGTAAGTTAAGGGCCAGTTGTTTTTGATACGCCGTATTGTTCTGTTCAGCCCTTTATGGAAGCGCTGTCGTGGTCTATAGGGAAATAACACAAATGTCACACTGGGCATCTCCATAATTAGCTTCTGGAATTAATGATTGAGCTTACATTGTATTTTATCACAAATATTATATTGACATTCACACACACACACACACACACAGAGAGAGGCTTAGTGATGGCATCTTAAACTAAGCATAGGAAGGAAGAAAGCTATGTTGCCATGCTGATAACAGCAGTCCCAGTTCAGACACCAGTGTTCTTATTCACAAACGGAACAAGATAATGCATGTGAGAGCCGAGATACGTTTTTTTCTATTTTTTATCTGATGATTATGTTTGCTGATAAATGTCTTAAACCGGTTTACTTATTTGATTGGTTGTTGTGTATTTCCGGTGTGTTTAGCACTAATTCATCAACAGATACAAACATGTGTCCACTGGAACATTCAAATGTCTTTGTTCAGCATTCAGAGGATAGACTATCACTGCTTAGGATTTGGCAGAGAATTATTTTGGCTTCCATTAGCTTACCCTGGAAAATATTGATAAGGGCAACTGTCTGATTTAATATTAAGGCCTATATTAGTCTGATTTCTTTTCCATCTATCTGCCTGTTTGTCTCCCATCTGAACTGTGGGGGCTTCAGTAAAGAGCTTCCTCTCTGTTTTCTCCAGCCTTTTGCTCATCTCCCCATCTTCACACCTTTCCACAACTCCCTTCCACCCCACTATTCTCATTCAGTGGTCCCTTTCTTCTTCCCCACTTATTATCTCAGGTGTGATGCCAGCATCTCCAAGCTAAGCGCTGACGTGAGCTCTGGGGAGCGGCAGCTGATTAGACTGCAGCAGGAGGTGGCAGAGCTCAGGTCAGCTGTGGATGTACGGCTCAAAGAGCTGGAAGTCAAGGTGAGAGACAGCGCATCAACGCTGACAAAGGGTTTGGCATACAAAACGTATGGCAGCAGTTTATAGCAGTAGTACACACAATGTACAAAGCAGACAAACACCAGTGCCAAAAAGTCTTTAAAATCAATCCTCTGATACATACTTGGACATATCAAAATAGTTCTTTATCTGTGTGATACTGACTCTGAAATCTGTAATAATGCAAAGCTATGATGGTACATTTCCTATTTTTTATGATACCATAATAGGAGCATGGCTCTAGGGATGTTAATGTATGTCAGTCGGTCGGTACACCACATCCAGATGGAAATATCTTGACAACTATTCAGTGGATAGCTTTGAAATTTTGGTCAGACATGTCTTGACAACTATTTTGGATGGATTGCCATGAAATTTGGTACAGACATTTATTGTTCCCAAAGAATAAACACTTCCTGACTTTTCATCCTGTGCCACCAGCAGGTCAAAGGTTTCACTTATCCTGTGAAATATCTATAGATTTAGTCAGTCATTCTGTGGATCCCAAAACTTTTCATCTAGTGCCATCATCAGGTCAAAATTACATTTCAATTTGGTGTATGACCAAAATATCCACAAAACTGTTAAACATTATGCTTGCATTAGCATTTGGCTCAAAGCACCACTTTGCCAAGTACAGACTTAAAGACTCATTACCATGGCTGTAGACTCCTAATCTTCTTCTTCTTATAGTTCTTAAATTATGCCATATTATACTAAATAGCAGAATCTACAATCCTAAACTAATCCCTACCCCTCTTTTATTTTAACACATACAGTGTTAAGCCTGGGATTCTTTTGAATACTCCAGTCTCACATTACGGAATAATATCCTCCTTGTGAATTTATTAGGTATAAAAGGGGGATTACATTTATTTAAATGGTGCTTGCATGAAGAAATGAATAATATAACAATATACACAGGGGATATATTTTGCTATTTGTCCTAGAGAGGGTGGCTGGCCATTTGGCAGGTGTTTTGGAGCTTACTGGTGCTGGTGGGGATGTCAAGATCTCTCCAATTTCACGGCCTTTACAAGGACTATAGTATAAATATAACTGAAACCCTGGATTAGCTAACATATGTAACATGTTATAATGCACTCCTCGACTTTACTAAATCTAAAGCTAACCACAGCCGCTCTTAACACACACTCACGCTGATTCAGCCTGCACTCAGTTCTGTTGGTGGCACACGGTGGTCAATCATTGTGATGACAGCACATTAGCTGTGGAGCAGTGGTCAAGCATGTACCATAAAGATAATTGAAACTGCAGAGAAAGTGGGTCACCGCTGTTACTCCCAGTCTTGACTTGCCACAGGAGTGGTGCATTGGCTCAATCCGCTCGAAGTCAGCAGAAACCACAATGGGTAAATGTCACATCAGGAAGTCTGCGCCAAAGGGTGCTCTACCATCACATAATAGCATATGTCGGTGTGCTTTCCTTTTTCCAGGTTTATCGTGACATGGGGAGACTGGAGGCCTCATTGTCAGAGCACTCCCAGGGCCAAAGGAGTTCCATGTCTGATCTGCATACACAAGTTAAACTACTAGAAAGCAAGTAAGGTGATTTGTTAAGGAGTAAGCACAACCCAAACACACCTTGTTAGTCCGATTTCTTTTGAAAAGTGGTGCTTCTGTTTTTTTTTTTTTTTGTAATTCATCCTTTCTACTGACTTTCTAATCAATTTCTAGAAGCTTTTTATTCAGGAGGCTTATGACTGGGAAGTATCAGTCCATTCTTCATTGTACAACACATACATGTATATACCCAGGAAATAATTCTGCAGTGCGTCTTTTGGATTTGTGTTGAATGTAAAAATGAGCAACGAGGTAGTGATGATAGTATGGTTTCATCCTCACATAAAAAGAAACAGTGTTCATCCACTTTAACTGCATTTGAGCACCAAGCATCATCAGTGTAAACACAGAGTCCACTGTTATTATCTTAACTAATTTGCCTTTAAGCAGGGCTTCTCAAGTGATTGATTTGTTATGTTTCTTTTTTTCATTCTGCCCCGACCCACATAATAGAGAAAAATCCTTGAGTTTCTAATTTGCTTATCAAATAATATATCCAGTCCTAACTCTCTCTACAGCTGTTTCAAGCTGGGAATTTCAGAGCCATTGCCATCTCACAATATTGATGCCAGAGGCACAAGGAAGCTGTTAGTTAAATTGATTTACTAATCCAGCTGATAAATAATCTCAATTGGCAGCAATGTGCAGAATTAATCACATAGTTTTACCATAGGGGAAACAGAAATGGAGAGACATGAATGATGAATATGCTCTATTTAGTAATATTGTAGATCTGTAATGGAAACCAGGTCACTGATCTTGTTAGAAACAAAAGAACAATAGATAAAAATAGATGAAAAGCATACTGTCTGTGTTTCTCACACAGGTAAAATAATGACAAGAAAAAACAACAAATACCAATATTATATCTTCCATCTACCCATGCAGGGTTGACCATTGATATATTATCCTTATATAGCTCCTAACGCATCAATGATCTGTGCTCTTTGTTTATTGACTCTCTAAACTCAACCTCCCTTATCTGTTGTGTCTCCCTTATCTTGGGGGGGGGGTCAGTAGATTCTGCATCCTCTTGGCTTTTTGTTAAACATTCAGTCAAAACACTTTTTAGAAACAACTTAGCTACCATATTGAGTGCCACAAATAAAACCCAATATCCAAAGTCTACCAATATATTTTAAATCCTGTGTATTTGCAAGTGTATTTTTTTCCATGAAAGTATGGAAACAGTGAACACAACTTTAAAATCCTCCTGAGATGACTACACACACTCAAAAGAAAGGCCATCCGCCCACAGAATGCCATTTTGTCAAAGGACATCTTATTACTTGACTGTAACTTATGTCTTGATGTTGGCCAGAGCAACAATTCGGCTTGCTCGCAGTACAAGGCCACTGACAAAAGAATCAAACATGTTTGATGAACACAGGGCCAGCCATTAAATGGAGGCACACTGATCCTCTTAGAATAGGAAAATGATAAACCTGCATGGAGACAGTTGAATTCTGATGTCCAATTGTGTTGCATACGCCTATCTTAACAACATTAGACAGATTAGCCATCCAGAGTGGTGTAATGAGGAGTCCCTGTAGATAGTAGTGGATGTAGAGTTAAATTCATTTGTAGAATGAATCTGATTTGCCTCATTGATTTTCTCATTTAGGAAGAATCCCTTGAATTTGGAAGAATAAGAAGAAAGAAGGTCAATTGAATTGAAGTGCCAATATGTTTTGTGTATAATAAATTTCTCCCAAGAGAGAAATTCCCAATAAGCCACTCTGTACCATGTCCTATACTAAAGTAAAGCCCACACAGTATTTTTCTCTGCATGTCCGAGGTTGCAGTTCTCACTGTACTTTGATGAATATGGTCTATGATCTCGAATCATGTGAAAGCTTATGTTTGCATATGTGCAGATGTGCATTCAGCTATTATCGTTATGTGAGTTTGTGCGCCTCAGCGCACATAAAGTAGCACCACCCAACCACAGAGTAACAGTGTTCTTCCTGCTGAGGCTGGCATCAAGTAAACCAAAAAAAGCAACGCTATTGCTGAGGAAGTCTCACCTCTAATTACCAAAGAGAGAGAAATTCTGAACACTGACTTTCAAACAGCTTCAGCTAGCTGAACATTAAGCAGCTTGCTTTTAAAACAAAGAGACAGAATATCAATTATTGATTTATGATTATTGATTCTGCTTTCACACCACAGACGTTTTACTCAGTGCAAAGACAAGGAGGTGCCAATAAAGTGTAAATTAGTTATTATTAAAATTCTTATTCCAGTGCCAAGCACCATGTAGTGCCAAGTGGGAGCTGCATATAATGGACCTAAATTTACAGCAAGCATTGCTCAGGTTTCCAGGTATTAGTCAGTCTGTATGCATTCTGAAGACATTTATAATACAATCTAATCTACTAATGGCCAAAAAATGCAACTTGCAGCTTCCTTACTTTCATCTTTGACTGCATTTTCAAACTAAAGTCGACTGCATTTCTCTTCTTTCGGTTCCTGATGGATTTGCAGGATGTCAGGTGAGCTGAAGGAAGCCAGGGAGCAGACAGATTTGCTGAGGAAGTGGACAGAACAACAGATTAACAGCTCAGTCCAGCACTGCACACAACAGCATGATAAAATGGTACCGTAGCTGTCAGCTTGATCCACAGTTTATGCACTGATGTAAATAACAACAAATGCAAGAAGTATTGCACAGGCCTCTTACAGAATATAGTAAATGCGTATTGTTTGCCTTTACTTTACAACCAAATTTTCAGGATCTGTAAGAGAGAACTTTTATGAGTGTGGTGTTCAGATTTTTAAGCTGTGACTCAGCAGAAAAAAGTACTTAACTGTTGAAAATGATAATTAGGTGGATCTGAGAAAGTTACAGAGGTTTGTTGAAGGTGCCACATAAGACATTTTTAAGCATTGATGTATCTTTATTAAAGCTATAATACATAACATTTCTGCATTAAAATATCTAAAAACACTATATGTTCTATATTTTGTTTGGTTATCCCCATATTTCCAACAATGTTTAAACTCAGAGAAAACATTTATTTTATTCAGGCAACGGTGCTTTTCACTAGTTGCCTGTCAATGTTGTCATATGTCCTTTGCGCATGCGTTGTGGCTGTCTTAAATTGTCAAAAATTCCCTTTTTATCTAGTTTTAAGCCACATTTTTATAACATTTTATTACTTTACCTTTTGTCATTGCACAAATCTTTTTGGCCAATGAATAACCCACTCTTCCTGTTTCAGTAATAGTAGTAAAATAGTAATACTATCTTGTTATAGTAATATCTCACAATGTTACAAGCAGCACCTTAAAATCTGGATTTAAAAGAATGTTCAGACTAGATCACATATGCAGTGTGAGGATTAAGAAACTGTCGTGCTGTATTGTAAGTGTTTTTAATGTGTGTGTTCTCTGTGATTTAGTTAAAAGCAGCATCTGCATTGGCTGACCGGCTACATGCTCTGGAGGCCCGTATGGAGCAGTTTGAGACCCAGCTGGACCGGGCCAACCGTAGTCAGGGCGATCAGCTGAAACGCTCTGAAACCAAACTCAGTAAAAGAATGACCTCAGTGGAGAGCAACCTTCACCAGGAGCTGCAGCTGCTCAAACAGGAATACCACAAAGGTGGGCGATCACTGTCCGTAACTTGCTGTCATCAGTGAGTAAACACATACTACATGAGCCTTTATGTCAAGGAAAAAACGCACTGATGAAAACGCTTCACAGAGGAGAAAAATAGAGAGGGAAAGAACGAGAAAGAGACTGCTCATAATTAGTCATAAACTGAAGTGACCTGACTGCTTGAATAATATGGTTCATTTCTTTTGCCTACAAATGAGACGCTTAATGTCCCAGTTAATGACAGTGGTGGGTGACTTAGTGATGACATCTTAAATTAAGCATAAGGAGTGACCTATACACAAGAGGGAACATGCTTAATTCAGAAGCTTTTTAACTGACACATGACATGGTTCTGTCAAACAGAGACATTTGTAACCATGTTGCTTTCAACATACAGAAATACATCACATTAAAATACTATTTCTAGAGCCAACCAAGCCACTGTCAAGAAAACTACCAGCAACACACTAATTAACATGATCTTAATATAAATACAGCAAGATTTTAAATAGATTAAATGAGTTGCATGTGAGTTACAGCTGTTTCATGTAGCTCCCTCAATGCTAATAAGTCACAGGACAAGCTGCAAGAATACACAGCCATCCAGCACCTCAGCTCTGCATCAAGCTGCTGTTGACATCCATCTCCTTCTCACCGCTGTGCCAAGCTCATTTCCCAGGAGCCTTGGCACAAGATCTCAAACCTTCCCCACTTTCTGTCAACCCCTCTCAGTCTCCAGCTCTTATTAAAGCATAGAGAAATAGAAAAGAGGCAAACCTCCCTCAGTAAATAAGTGCAGGGGTAAACTGCTCTATGAATCATCGCACAGCCTCCGATCTCAGTGCTAGAAAGCCATCCATCCATAGCTCTATTTTAAGTAGAGGCAGAAAAGACAAAAGAAGACTGTAATAGAGGGGAGAAAAAGCAATGCATAATTGATGAGTGTCGTAAATTTTCGTGGCAAGACAGGCGGGGAGTCAGAAAGAGAAAGAGAGAGATTTCAGTTCAGTCACTGAAAATTACTTCTTAGAGTTCATGCAATATTGAAACGTCTTTCTGTTTTAGGCAGTAGCTACACAATGAAATCATGATAACTGATGATTAGGACTATATACAATTATATCAACATATTATAAACCACTAAGATATTAGAGGGAGCAATATACATGCTATCATCATCATTCAATTGATTGAAACTTAACAACTGTTATAACACCAAAAGGACACGAGGTTAAAGAGAACATAAAGAACTATCACAAAGCTTACACACAAAAGCCTAACTCAGTACCAATATAACACCTCCATCACCAGCAGTTTTCAGAGAATAATTTGAACCTCGAATGCATTGTATCTGGTGATCCTCTGCACACTCTGTTTCTCTTTTGGACAGGCTTCCTGTCTGTGCATGACGCAATTGAGTCCCTGAGGCAGATAAGTGACATCAAATCCCGCCTTGACAAGGAGAAGCTTCAGAAGGATATCAGGCACATCTGCAGCAAGGTGGCAGAGCTCAATGACTTGTGACATTATTTACTGAAGAAGAGCCCCTTGTTACTGTCACACCAACCCCGAAGCAATGTTTTTGAGTCAAACAAACCAGGAGGCATGCCTGTCAGTGACAGTGTTTATTCTTCCCTCACTTTTGATTTTGTTCAGTGAGCCCACAGCTTATTAGATTATGGCTATATGTAATTGAATCACTCTTTAAAAATAAGATAATTCATCTAGAAATTTGAAATAGAGTACCTTTTGTTAAATGTTAGGCAACTTAATTACAGACATCTGTTATTATTGTGGACATTAATATTTGCCAATGTCAGTGACAGATGTAGTTCATTCCGGTTAATTCAATTTTAATTTAAAAAGGCAAAAAGATGATTTGTCACTTAAGCACAGTCTTGTTAAACCTGACTCTAAAACTAAATGAGAACACTATTGTGTTAAAAAATTGTCACACACCTAACACATTTTATTTAAAAAAAAGAAAAACTGTATACAATAAATTATTCTTTTTATTAGTATCATTGTTGTTGTTATTTGTGTTACATAAAATGATTAAATAAAAGCTATGTTAAGATGTTTCAAATTCAGACAGGACCAGTTTCAGTGTTTAACAGGAGTAATAGAGATACAAGAGTGTATTTTCAGTTTCAGCTCATAACAAGTTATTTCTATTACAGTCTAAAGGTGCGCTGGGATAGAGGCTTATTTTGGAGACAAATGTAATTTGGAGGTGAAAAGCAAGTGACCATTTGAGAATAAGACTGAATTTGATCCTACCAGCATGGGGCGCTATAAGCCAGAATGAACGTCCTTGTTTACCGCTAATGTGAATCCGGTGTGCGAACGCAGTGTCAAAGGCGAAGCGAAAAGACCTCTGCCGAAACCCGGGATCGATCCAGGGACCTTCAGATCTTCAGTCTAACGCTCTCCCAACTGAGCTATTTCGGCTTGATTAATAGCCCGACCGTAACTGTCAGTTTCGTCTATAAAAGTGTCAGTTACTGTATTACTGATCACGGCTCGCCGCATACTCAAAGCGAAATCGAAACCACTGCGCAGGCGAAATGTTCGCCGCACGCATCATTAGGCTCCCTGCTCAGATCTCCTTTGAACCATACTCGTTCAGTTCACAAGTTTAATACTGTCGCTCGGTGGCTTTAATCTACATTGTCATCGAAACAATATATCAAATGACTTTGTTAAAACAAGGGGAGGGGTCCCTTGAAGTTAAGAACAGGAAATATCACCTAAGTCAGCCGACAGGATTGCAGAACGCAGGAGAGACAGTTTTTATGTTGCCCATAAGTGCTAGAAGTGTTAAGAACTGTTTGTGGCATTTTCACAACGATGAAATCAGTTATTGCCAATGTAAGGCCAAAGCAGTGGATCTTGTGCAGTCTTATACTGTTTCAGGGGACAAGTGTTCCTGTGCTAATCATCACACTCAAAATCTGGTTGGCCCGTATGGGGATTGAACCCATGACCTTGGCGTTATTAGCACCACGCTCTAACCATCTGAGCTAACCGGCCACAGGAGCCTCTCCAAACGTCATGAAAACAGTCGCCAAACCAGAATAGAAAGTGAAAGTTATTGAGCTGACAGAGAAACCCCCTCTTCACCGACGGTAAGATTTAAATCAGGGAGAGCTGTTTATGTTGCTAGATTTGCAGAGAAAGACAACAAAACAACCAACAGGAGTTATAAAACAGTATATGATAATATATAATGATAGTGTTTAAGGCTGTCCTGTCGTCCTGTGTTCTAAAAAGTATAAAGTTTTCTGACACACGCAAACAGACGAGACGACTATGGTTATATAAGTTATCATCTAGGCCAGTGGTTGACAAACTGGGGGTGGGGTTCCTCCTGGAGGCACATAAATAACATTTAAAAAATGGCTATGTGTTAAGTAAATGTTAAACCCTGATTGCTCTTACATGTGCTATAACATGGTGTCACATTTCTGTATTCATTTCTCACAGAGCTGCAGATNNGTGCAGTTCTCTGGCTGGGAGGTGGTCGACGATGGTGCTTCCTTTCCTGGTGTGGAGCTGACGCCCTCCCAGAAACCCCAAAAACGGGGCGTCTACACTATGTACCATGGGACAAGTGTTACTTGTGCACGGCTCATCCTTACCAGTGGTTTTAAACAGTCATCACGTGGCATGCTGGGAACGGGTGTGTATGTCAGTCGTGATAAGCAAAAGGCGGCTCATTATCCATTGAACAGCCAGGTTACAGACCGTGTGATCTTTCAGTTACGTGTGCGTCCCGGTCGTGTCAAGCGTATTGACAAAGATAACCATCCTATGCAGTTCACCTGGCATGCAAATGGCTATGACACTGCCTGGGTTCCCCCCAATTGTGGCCTTAAAGCCGTGCCCAGTGGGATGGAGGAGGACTGTGTGTTTGACCCTAAAAGAGTGGAGGTGGTAGGCATTGCAAAAGCACCAAACGCCACCATACAGAAAGAACTTGAGCAGCTTCTGGCAACATCATCCAAAAAATCCAGAGGAGGAGGCGACGGTGCTGCTGCTGCTGTGTGTTCCCTGTGCAGGAGAAAGACCCAGAAGGGTTCTCCACACATCAAGCAACAGTGCTGGGACTGTGGGAAAAACATCTGCATTCTCATGTCCAAGCATTTCTGTCCAGCCAAACCCGGACACGGGGGAGGAAAGAAGAAAGTTTGAAAAAAATGTGAAAAAAAAGTGATGCTAAGATGATCCACAACAATATGGCCTTTGCATGTGCTGGAGTAGATTAGAACAACAATAATAATAATAGTAACTCAGGGTTCAATCATATCATTTGTAAACATGAATCATAGTCTCAGTCTTCCTTAAAGCAATAATTATAATTGGTGCTACATGTTCAATTAATTTACTGCTGAACATGTTTTGGGCGGTCTCTGTACGTGGTACAAACTTTATTACTACAAAATCTTGTTGATGATTTGACACTAGTTTATAGTCAACTATGAAGTTTATGATGTTTTGGTTTGAACTTGGTTTGTCAAGTCAAGTAATACACTCAGCTGTTATGTGTCTGCACTAGCTTTAAATTCTCTGATCAGCATGCATTATGATCACATGATCCTGGATAAAATATATGTGTTAGCACTAATGATTTTGATTTACTCAAAGTATATAAACTTACTGAATACTAAGTTATGTAACAGGACTAAAGCCAATAAATATTATATTATCAGACCCATACTGTCCAGATTGATATGATTCCATATTTAGTGAAAAGACTCATTTAGTAGGATTGCCTTCAAATAAAGCCATAGTCTCATACTTTTGTTGTTACAAAATGAAGGTGAATAGTAGTAAGCGATTAATTAAACATTCATTTTGGCTGGTTTCTAAAATGACGTGCAAAAAAAGTAAGGAATATGTTCACAATCAGGTTATCATTATTTAATACCTGATTGTCTGGACTAGTCCGTACAACCCTGTTTCAAAGCGGTTTATTGCTGTAACAGTCTACAAGTGCACTAGGATATATATCCTAAAATCTAATCTGGAGGTCAAAGGCAAATCACTATTTGTGAATATGAATGTGTTTAATGATCCTGCCACAATGGAGCTATAAGTCAGTATGTTCAGTTTTTGTAGGAAAAGACCTCAATCTGGGATTGAACTATTGACCTTTAGATTAAAAGTCCAGTGTGTTACATTTAGGAGGATCTATTGTTAGAAATTGAATATAATATTCATAAATATGTTTTCATTTGTGTCTAATCAATTGAAAATATGAAACATGTTTTTGTTATCTTAAGAATGAACTGTCACCATGTTGAACTAACATATTTCTACAGTAGCTGAGAAGAGACAAACCAAACACTGACTGTAAATAAGCTGTAGATATGGCTGTTTTTTGCACATTTGGCGGCCACCCTGTCAAGCTTTGAAATTGGAAGGGGAGGGTGAAGCAGGGAGTTGCAATCTGCAACTATACTGCTAGTTGCCACTAAATCCTACACACTGGACCTTTAAGTGAAGAACCTGCAGCAATAATCACAAATCTGTAGCTCCTCTCTGCTTATGCAGTTTCAACTTCACTGTTTAGATTCACTCTCAACGCTCTCTCGGCGTAGTTTTTGGTAGCAGCAGGCAGATATTTACAGCAAGAAAAAATTTAAAAACCTATAGTGCTTGCTTGGCACCAAACGGCAAAGAAACAGTGACAAGCTGGAGATCACAGAGGAGCATTCAGCAGTTAAAGAGCAAGATATTTCCCTCAGGAGTTGGCAGAGACTGAAAACAGCTAAAATGGAGAGAATATTGGATTTATATTTGCCAAGTGGCCCGAACCTTGACTCCAAATGAACAATAATGTTGCTCTGTAAGTGCTGGATTTGTTTAAGCAACAGTTTGCCCTTTTATTGCTATTAGTTTGCCATATCAAGTTAAAAACGAACTATATGTTCACAAGTCATTTCCATAGCCACAAATCAGTTACTGCAGGTGTAAGAGGAGACAGAGAGATGTTGAGTAGAATACGTGGATGTTTCAGGGGAAAGGCAAACTTTCATTGACATAGTCTGTGACATACTGTGTCACTGTACCTCATATCACAGGAAGACGTTGTAAATGCCATCAGAAAAGGAGTCGTGGCCAGTATGGGGATTGAACCCATGACCTTGGCGTTATTAGCACCACGCTCTAACCATCTGAGCTAACCGGCCATGCAATATCGGTCACGTGACACAAACAAAACTTTAGATACAGAGCTACTGAACTGAAAGTAAAAGTTAGGGAACTGGCAGAGAAGGCAACTCCTCACTGACGGTAAGTTTAAATGTTTTAATAACAACAGGAGGATGTCATAATGTAAGCTGTATGATAATGTATGGTGATCAGGCTGTCCTGTCGCCCTGTGTTCCTAAAGGGATAGAGTTTTATTTGACTGACATCATTTTCGGACACACACAGACAGACCAAAATAGTTATGTGGCTTTTATTTGCCTCTGCTGTAGGTCCAGTGTGTAACATTTATATATAACCGTTTCATGTTCTTGTTCTTCATTTCTCACAGAGCTGCAGATCTTTGCACCCTCTATCTGTCTCACTCCTAAATCAGGATGCCAGTGCAGTTCTCTGGCTGGGAGGTGGTCGACGATGGTGCTTCCTTTCCTGGTGTGGAGCTGACGCCCTCCCAGAAACCCCAACAACGGGGCGTCTACACTATGTACCATGGAACAAGTGTGGCCAGCGCACGGCTCATCATTGCCAGTGGTTTTAAACAGTCATCAGGTGGCAATCTTGGAGTAGGTGTGTATGTCAGTCGTGATAAGCAAAAGGCGGCTCATTATCCGTTGTTCAGTCAGAATACAGACCGTGTGATCTTTCAGTTACGTGTGCGTCCCGGTCGTGTTAAGCGTATTGACCCGTTGAACCATCCTATGCAGTTCACCTGGCACGCAAATGGCTATGACACTGCCTGGATGCCCCCCAATGTGCGGGGCCTGGAGGAGGACTGCGTGTTTGACCCTAAAAGAGTGGAGGTGGTAGGCATTGCAAACGCGCCAAACGCCACCATACAGAAAGAACTTGAGCAGCTTCTGGCAACATCATCCAAAAAACCCGAAGGAGGAGGTGATGCTGCTGCTGCTGCTGCTGCTGTGTGTTCCCTGTGCAGGAGAAAGACCCAGCAGGGTTCTCCACACATCAAGCAGCAGTGCTGGGACTGTGGGAAAAACATCTGCATTCTCATGATCCAGCATTTCTGTCCAGCCAAACCCGGACACGGGGGAGGGAGGAAGAAAGTTTGAAAAATCGGAGAGTGATGCTAAGATGATCCACAACAATATGGCCTTTGCATGTAGTAGTAGATTAGAACAATAGTTAGTAACTCAGGGTTCAATCATATCATTTGTAAACATGACTCATAGTCTAAATCGTATCCTTCCCTAAAGCAATAACTATAATTGGTGTTACATGTTCAATTAATTTGAATGTTTTTTTGGGGGGGTCTCTGTAAGTGATCTACAAAAGTTTTATCTTCTTTTACACCGACTTTTTTTTCCCTGTCTGTCTTGGATATTTTGAAAAACGTGATAACACTATACTTACATATACTGTCATTGGATAACACTCATGACTTTGATTTACTGTAACACTTTAAATTTACTGAATACTAAATTATGTAACAGAACAAAAGCCAATAAATGTTGTTGTTATAATGTCCGGTTTGATGTGCTTCCATATTTAGTAGAGAGACTGTTTTTGCAGGGATGTCTTCAGCCTTCACATAAACCCATAACATCATCATTTCACACTATCGCTGTTCCAAAATTCAGGATGGTGAAGAGTAGTAAGCGATGAATAAAACATTCATTTGGGCAGGTTTCAAAATGACATGCAAAAAAGATGAGGGAACATGTTCACAATCAAAGTTAACAGCCAGTACAGAAATATTTTAGTGTACTCAAGTTACTGAAGTGTGCTACAGGGAGACAGACCTGCCGGCTGAAGTCTGAAGTTAAACTGAAGATATGAGGGAAGGCTGGATTATCAAATAGTCTTTTTTTCAGGCTGATAGAAAAATAAAAAGAATTTTGCAAAGTACGTGACGGAAACCTCTGTAGTCTGGTTTCTAAGGGAAGAGCAATTGGTGCAGCACATTTTAACTCCTGTATACATTATGAAAGAATGAAAAAAGGATAAAGCTTCTCGCAGCACACTCCACTGGGTTTTTCACTTGGCCTTTCTCACCACATTATCACAATGACCGGATTAACCTGCTTACAGGGGCCATAAAATTAGATTCTGGGCATACACCCCCCGTCTCTGTGCACTTAATACAGTATTCCTCTGCTATAATACTACCTGGCACCACATTTGCTGTGTCGTAATATGATTAAACACAAACTAATGTAGGAATATGCGCCTTAAGGTCTTTATCATGTCAACTAGTAGTAGATATTTACAATTTACTGTTAAAATGATCATATTACCAAAACCAAGTGAAGCACAGTGTTCCTGGGGCTTGTGGAAGTCCCTGGGGACAGTGGCCTTTTCACAGTTGTCAATCTAGCCTCCTTTTTCTAATTTAGGGGTTTGCAGACTTTTTTTTAATGTCAAGGACCCCCACAATGCACATTATATATATATATATATATATATATATATATATATATTTATATTTTCTATATATATATTTTTAAAAATATGGAAGAGGATCCTTAAGACTTAATCCTTTCTGAGTTGATTTTTCTTCCATTAGTTCAATCAAGGGTTCAAAACTTACTCATGTTAATAATTTAGCAAGTGTCAATAAAAACCCTGATTTCCAAGCTTTCCAAAAATAATGATAAATTAAAATAATATATTCTTACCTTTAAGCATGGGGGACATCCAAATGTAAAGGAAACCTAAAATTGTGGCTGTTCTATTTCCAAGGCAAAAAATACATTAAAATCAAATTCAATTATATATAGTCATAAATTGCTCATGCATCTTAAAAGGAAATTACCGTATTCAAAAAGCAGTTTGATGGCTACAAATGAAAAAAAAAAAACTTTCGGTGGGCCCGTCGGGGGATCAGAACCCGCGACCTGTTGCGTATTAGCACCACCGCTCTAAACCAACTGAGACTAACCCGGCCGGTGATTGTGCAGGGAACGAACCTGAGTAAAATGAAGATACAGTATATTCATGTTTACCTCGGAAGTCGTTGCGGTTAGATATGGATACTAAGTTACATCCGCTGAACAGAAACTGAAAGTTATAGCGGTTGGAAAAGAAGTCGACTCCACACCGACGGTAAGGTTTGGTTACTAGTCTTAAGTTTAAATTTATAGATTATAGTTTATTAACTTAGATTCAGAGAAAATGACCATTACAGTAATCACAATACGAAAATCAGTTAAAGTCAGTCTTTTTTATCACCTTTAAAAAACTTAATGTTAATCTTAACGTTACATAAGGGTCGCAATAAATACTAATGTGATTAAATGTAATATTAGCTTGAGAATAGTTCGGTTTTCACCTATTAAAACTGATATTCATCGATTTTGGTGAATATTTTGTGTTGTGGTTTTAAGAATAGCCTTTCCTTCAGTCGGACTGCTATTACCTTAGGCTACGTAACGTTAAGTCTAAGGGTTAGCTCGCGGTAGCTAAGGAAATAGCTAAGATTTATTATAGGCGTTGTTGACTTACACCAGATTTTGGTGAAATAAGACTTTTTTCACAGCAGGCGTTTTGACATAAAACAGTAGGGTAAACACAGGTGTTACTGATGATTTTAGTTAAGGTTTCGGCCCATTCTTGTCAACCCGAGTCAGGGTGCTGAACATGTTGGCTCAGTGGAAAGGCTCTGTTACACTAAATGGAACAGAGATTTAATTAGTATCATTGGTGAGACCTGTGTTTACCCTACTTCTTCATGTCAGAAAGATCTATTAGGAATGTCAGGTGCATTTTATGACAGCTTATTTGTTTATACCTTTTACCAAACTTCATAAAAGACATTTGAACACAGATCTGAACACTTTAGTGTCCACTGAACACAACTATCAAAAAAAAATATGACCGTGTAAAATAAATATGGAGGTAACTTTTGTTAACACTTATTAAAATGTAGTTTGTGATTGAGTATAAACATGTTTATTGCAATATAGTTGTTAATGCCTAACTGGGACACATCATTTAGTGCAGTTTACCACAGGACAACATGTCCATTAAAGAAACCTACACTGGACATAAAAAGCAACACCTGATCCTTCTTGAATCTGTTATAACAGGGTGCCATTTTGTGTCTTCATTCCTCACAGAGCTGATCTTCAACAGTTACAGGATGTCACTGCCGTTCTATGGCTGGGAGGTGAGCTATGATGATGACTCTCCTCGTGTGGAGCTGGGGGCCTCTCAGGAGCCCAAAGACCGTGGGATCTACACCATGTACCATGGCACCAGCATCGCCAATGCACGGCTCATCATTGCCAATGGTTTTCGGCAGTCATCGGGTGGCATGCTGGGAAAGGGCGTGTATGTCAGTCGTGACAGGAAGAAGGCAGAACGTTATCCATTAAAAAGTAACCCTTCAGACCGCGTGGCCCTGGAGTTACGTGTGCGTGTTGGCCGTGTCAAGCGCATTGACATAGACAACCATCCTATGCAGTACAACTGGAACACGCATGGCTACGACACAGCTTGGGTGCCTCCAAATTGTGGTATGATTGCTGTGCCCAGTGGCCTAGAGGAGGATTGTGTGTTTGACCCCAAAAATATTAAAGTCGTGGGCATTGCAAGGGCAGCTCCAAATGTACTAACAGAACTTCAACAGCTTTTAGCTGATAGTGTACAAAATACTGGCAATGATTGGGGTGCAGCCTCGAATGCTGGTGGTGCTGCTGCGGATGTGTGCTCAGTGTGCAGGAGGAAGACCCCACAGAGTTCTCCACACATCCAACAACCGTGCTGGGGCTGTGGGGAAAACATCTGCGCTCTCATGACCAAGCATCGCTGTTCAGTTAGATTCTGAGAAGGAGCAAAGCCCTGAAAAACTGTGCTGTTGTGAAACAAATGGAGCGAGTATCCACATCCTTACGCTAGTCTTATGTGGTGGAGTTAAACCTAAGTTGAATTTAACTAAAGACAAAAAATTCTGAGCTCAGGGTGTATTTGTATTTTGGAAATGGAAAGTTTCTACTTTTTTCTTCTTTTATAAGTGAGCACCTGTAATTGTAACTAGCACAACATGTTATAACAGTCACAGCCAGACATGCCTTAAGGATCTCTGTATATCTGTAAAGTCGTTTTGTATGAACTGAAGTACTGCTGATATACTATAATGTTCCAATTTATAATCTATTCAGGTTGTATTGACAGATTAGCGTGCATTAGGATTATGTACAATCAAGATGAGACAGTCTATAGATTGAGCACAATGCCTTTATTTCAGCCTGAATGTTGACATTGGTTGCTTTATGTAAATGCATGTTAAGTACAATCTGAAATAATATGTAATAACGTTCATGATTTAGATTTACTGAATTTATTTGATTTTCTGAAATGCTGCATTATATAAAACCAAAGAATCATGTAAAGCCAATAAATGTTAAATTTATGACATGAGACCCATAATGTCCAGTTTGATATGATTTCATACTTAGTGAAGAGACCTAGAAAACCTGAATCGGTGATGACTTAGGCCTGTGGTTAAGCTGCATGATTTCATAGTGATGCAGTTGTAGACTAAATTCAAGATGAAGAGTCAAGGTGTGAATGAAACTTCAGCAGTCTTTGATCTCCATGCTTTTTGGCATATTGCAAGAGGACCTGCAAAAGAGATGAGAAAATAGTTCACTATCAAAGTTAAACAGATGGAAGAACATAAGTTTGTCTAGTTTCAGTTTCACTGTATGTGCGTTTTTCACAGAAGTCAGAAGTGGAAATAGGTATTGATTTTAAATGGTATTAAATAAAATTATACTGTATGTCTCGCCACTGGTGCCAGTGCAGGTGTAAGGCAGCTGTGTGCTCACATTCAATAGCTCCTGGTCGTCTTTGACATGCAAGTGTCTGAGGAGGTACCAGCTGGCCACCTGCACCACTGTCACTGGGAACTCTTGAGAAGGGACGTATACCAGCCTCTCCAACAAACGCCTTGTTTCCCTGCAAAACACGCAGAAATGGACAAAGGTATAACATGAGCTTTGTTACTTATTAAGCAAAATAATTTCAATTTTAATTTGTGTGGATGTCTCTTACACCCAGGCCAACATTCAGGAGTGGAAGCGGTGAACGAAATGACCACAAAATAATGACACATATGCTCATTTGCTCTAGAAAATATATGGGATTTGTTTTCTTCTGATCTGTTTGTTGTCTAGACGAAATTAGCTGGCGAAAAAGTCCTACGTCTGTTAGTCTGGGTTGAAACCCTGTGAATCCATAACTGTTGTGTCTGTTTTCCAAGTGTACAATACAATGAAACTTGTCACTGGCATGAAAGGGCCTTTGATATTGTGACTGTGCTTGGCACAGAGGAGTTCCTGCTGCATCTCTCAACGAATCTAGCCAGTTCATGATTGACATATTTGTTCTCCTCAGCTCTCTGATGAATGTAGCAGTCTAATTAAGTGTCCTGGCAGGCCTGTGAGGTAGTGGCAGAAGGCTATTATGTCAGGACAGCAAAACTTTGCTTTGCAAATTGCTTTGCAGTTCCAAAATTACTTTGCAGTTCCAAAATTACCAACATCTTGAAAAGACAGATGGAGGCATAAATATGAAGTTTCAGGAATCTTATGAATAATTTAATCACTTGAGATCATATATTACACTTACATGCCAATGGGATAAAATCATTTCCATATCTTTGCAGAACAACCCACACGCCTGTAACATAAATGTGCATTTGCATACCACCAATGCAATAAAAACAAGGCGCAGCGAGAAGCACTGACCTTGCAGCCATCTTGGTCACGTACTGGAGCAGGGCCTGGAAAAGGAGGGCCATAGGGGACCAACCCAGCTTCAAGACCTCAGTAGTGGCTTCTAGCACCAGGTCTATCCAGTCTTTTCCTGGGACACCTGCCTAAGATGTCAGATCACATAAGGTTAATAATAAAACTAGCAACAAAACACCTACACAAAATCAAGTTTTATTTATTTACTACATTTTTTATTCTTTTAAATGTATTGTTTGCTAACATTGTCTGTAACACCTGCCTTCTCCGTACCAGTAACTGCTTTCAGAGGAGCAGTGGCTGTAATCAAAATTAGATGATGAAAAGAACTGTATTTAACTATGGTAAGCACCTATGGGATTTTCGGTCCTGGGAGCAGTGGACTAAAAACCACATCCCCTCCAGTTCAATCACAAAGGCAGCTTCTTGTCTTGTTTGTATTTCCACTTGGCCTTGGCTTCTGATCCTATAACTCTGCTGGATATTCACCCGTCTTTCATCGCCTCTGCCTTGTTTCTGCCCACGTGATAGGGATATAGACAGGAGCTGCCTCTGGCGTTGTGTGGGCATAGTAATATGCAAGTCTTGTTGTCATTATTCTAAAACACCACTAGTCCTTATTGCTTACATTACTCCTGGGACAAAAGAAAAAGGGTCCTACCATTGTGCTAATTTTAACCTCTATTTTGCGATACCATAACATTAGTGCTGTGCTGTAACAGTTGTACTTTCTCATGCTAAAATTAGAAATGTTTTGAATCTAGATTTATGTTACATCCTATGGAAGAACTCACCATACAAGGTTCTAGGGCTAGCAGGGCTAGTCGAAGCAGGCTGGCCACCTGGCTGCTGTGCATGCTGAGCTGTGAGGCGAGCTGAAGACTCTGCCTGTAAGCCATGACTGCTTGGACCAGCAGGCCCTGGCTACGATACACCTCTGCCAGCCACTGAGAGAAGGAGAGTAGGAGGGGGATTGGAAGATCAAGGATGAGTGGGAGTAGAGGTGAGAATGGGAGATTTACAGAGGTATGGGTGGGAGAGGAAATATAAGAGGCGAAGGAAGAGGGGCATAGAAGAGATTGTTAGAGGCAATGTGAGATAAAGATCAGAAGGAAGATTAGAAGGATAGGGGAAAGAAAGAAAAAGGTAAAAAGATATGATGATATACTTTACATAGGATAATCACTGAAAGATAATCCACCAATTCTCAATGCAATATTCTTATTGTAACAAGAATGAAGTTCTACTTTACTACTTGCCGCAAAAATAAACTGTGAAGTTAAGACATGGTTTTATCCAAAAATATAAGGCCTAACAGAAATAGCATGGAGAATCAATTTCCTGGCTGTATGGTATCTGTCTCTGACTGTATTATATCTACAGCTACATGTTTAACTCCACATTTATACTGTAACATCTGTGGTCATTAACCACATGACTACAATCTGCCAATATGTTCATGGCTTGAAAGAGAGAGCCTGGTTTCTTTGCTGCTCCTCCCCTGCTGATAGAAGCCATTTGATGTTAAGTGCAAGTGCAATCTGAGGTCTGAAGCAAGACACAGAAATGGTCTTCATTAGGCCAGTGTCTCAGTGGAGCAAGTCAAAATGGCTTTTGCAGTGAGGAAAGAAAACAGACAGATAGAGTTTTTTTGGGGTGGTTGGTTTTGCTACATATACATGTTAGTGTGAACAATGTGGTATAGCATTGTTTAAAAAAAAAATCTCCATTTAAAAAAACTGCTGCTAGAAATCTAAGATTAATAGCTCATCAGTAATTCACTACAATACAAGATACTGGTGTGGTATCTTACGTGATGAAGTGTCCACTTACGTGCCATGCCCCAATGTTAGTGGGGTTCACCATCACTGCCTTGTTTAGTTGCTCCAGCACAGAGTCTGGGAGGACAGTACCGCCGCTGGTAACGAGGAGGCGCTGAAACTGCACCTGTGTCAGTGACAGCAGCACTGCTGGGTGTTCTGGGGAAACATTCAGAACCTGGGACAGAGAAGGTAGCGCATGAGGAAACAGAAAGAAGAGGCCAAAAGAGAGAAATCTGGATGTAACCTATATTACTTCGTCTATGTTAGTTTCTCTCTGAAACAACTCTAACCCTTCCTAATAATGAAGTCAATCAGAGAATAATACTGTGTGTGGTCATATCTCACCTGTGAGCAGAGGGCTTCTGCCTGCTCCAGCTGTCCCCCCAGCATGAGACCACTCACTGCCTGTTGTAGTACCCAGCCCTCTAGTGTCTGGGCCAGTGGGCGCTCGATCTCCTCCACATTACGCACTGGGATACAGAAAGGTGTCGGTTATACACTCAAACACAAACTAAATAATAAAGACCATAAAACACACATGCACCGATGCACACACCTTTCTCAGAAACCACTGACATGAGGGTTTGCTCAAGTCCTTGTCTGGAAGGAGCAGAACCTGAAAGATAACAGGAAGTGTTTTCTGTGTGACAGGCAGCCATTAATCCCGCCCATGTTCCTGGATCATCTGGAAGTAGAGACAGAGGAGTGGAAGCTCAGTTCGCATGGACGTTTCACAGTATTCCTTTAATGGTAGGTGTAAAGTAGTTTCACAATTATCACACAGGGATAAGCATGAACAAACTGAACCATAAAGCTAAATACAGTATACAGGATTTATACCAGGACAGAGCAGCACAGCTCTCTGCATAGTCTTTAGTGCATTCCTGTGACTGTCCTCTCCAGAGTGTCTGCCACTGGCCAGCTGGTTCACTCCACTGTATAACAACGCCCTCTGCAGGCACAAAAGTTAGATCAGCTCAGTTTCATATACAAACACTGTGGCAAAGGTACCAGAGTCAATATTGACTGTATTGTACTCTGTAAATGTAGAGAGTGTTTTGGCTGCTGACATGTCTACAGTAGAAAATAAATTAAACACTAGAGTTCAGGCAAAATAACAATTATTGAGTATGGAGTTTAATTTATAAAGTCAGTGACGTTAATGAAGTGTAAACAAGACAGAGCAGACAGAACAGATAAAGATACACAAAGCCATTTGTACATAAACACAGTCACTCTAACCTTTCCTTGGGTCATACTGGAGAGACACGCAACGTGACCAGCCATGGCTCCGCCCTAGAATACACAGCAGACAAAACCATGAACCCTTTCATTACAACTGTCTAGAAGCACTCCGGTAAAAGTGGATTAGGGTGTTTAGTTACGTGTGTGGGTATAATAGATTCCCTGGGTTTGTGTTTGAGGTGTGATTAATGTTTGTGTGTGTATGCAGCCTTACATTTGCCTTCCTGGGGTAGTATTGTGGTACCAGTCTGGACAGCAGGGCCCACAGAGATGGGTTTCCAGGATTGCTGTAAATAAGAAGAAAAAAGCTCTGGCCATCAGTGACAAAAATGCAGTTTGATCACTGATCTTTTTTATAATCAAATTAGGTGATTGTATGATACAGCACAGAGGGGTACTTGGAACAATTCAAACAAGCGGTTTACCTGTGTACAGCTCTGGAAGCTTCTCTTTGCACCGCACTGTAGTTGCCCTGCAGGGCCAGCAAGGCGCATGTGAGTAGACACCGCTGCTCTACAACGTTCCCCGAGGCTGTACCTTGCTTCAACAGCTCAGTCAGGGCAGCAGACGCTAATGTAGCATCACTGTGGACCAATCC